CATGCCTGAAATTCCGGCTACTCGGAAGGCTGAGGCGGAAGGATCTCTGGAGCCCAGCAGGCCGAGGATGCGGTGGCCGGGAGCGGCCACTGCACTCCAGTCTGGGCGACAGAGTGAGACTCCAACTCAAAAAAAAAAAAAAAAAATGACAAGACACAAACAAGCAAACCCACCCCTTCCTCTTTCCCCCAGAAAAAGTCAAAAGAGAAAGAAATCAACACAACCAGACTCAAAAGATTAAGATAGGAAACTCAAAATAACTATGACTACAAAGCATGGTGGCTCAAACCTATAATCCCAGCACTTTGGAAGGCCAAGGCAGGCAGATTGCTTGAGCCCAGGAGTTCAAGACCAACCTGTGCAACATAGTAAAACCTCATCTCCACAAAAAGATCAAAACATTAGTGGGGTGTGGTGGTGTGCACCCATACTCCCAGGTATTTGGGAGGCTAGGTGGAAGGATCACCTGAGTCCAGGAGGTCGAGGCTGTGCCATGATCATCGTGATCACGCCACTGTACTCCAGCCTGGATGGAGTGAGATTCCCAACCCAAAAGAAATAAAATGACTGTGACTAACATGTCAGAAGCCTAATGGAAAAGGCAGACAACACATATGAACATACAGAGACTTCAACAGGCAAATGAAAACTACAGGAATGAGTGAAGTGAAAATCCTCAAAATAAAAAAAACAACAGAAATACTGAAGATCATGAACAAACGCAACAGGGCTGAGGAAAGAATCAGTGAAACTAAAACAGATCAACAGAAGTTTCCCAAACTGAAACACACACACACACACACACACACACACACACACACACACACACACGGAGAGAGAAAAGAAGTGAGGGGTTAAAAAAACATTTGGGGAAGGTGATGACTGAGAACCTTTCATAGACAAACTACAAATATAATAAACTAAAAGAACACCAATTGGAAACCCCACACAAATATACCTAGATATATCATATTCCAACTGCTGAAAATCAAAGAGAAAATTTTGAAAGCAGGGGGGTGGGGGATGGGGTGTGGGGGGAAATGGAAGCATATTACACAGAGATACAAAGATAAGAATTACAGATTTATCCTCAGAAAGTATATAAGCCAAAAGACAATGAAGCAACAGCTTTAAAGTGCTGAAAGAAACACACACACACACAATGACTCATGCCTGTAATCCCAGCACTTTGAGAGGCTGAGGCAGGAGGACTGTTTGAACCCAGGAGTTTGAGACCAGCCTGGGCAACACAGTGAGACCTTGTCTCCAAAAAACCCCAAAACCAAAAAAACCAAAAATTAGTTGGGCATGGTGGTATTCACCTGTAGTCCTAGCTACTCAGGAGGTGAAGGAGAAAGATTGTTTGAGCTGAGGAGGTTGAGGATGTGATGAGCCATCATCATGCCACTGCACTACAACCTGAGTCACAGAGTAAGACTCCAATTCAAAGAAAAAAAAAAACTATGCCCAGAATTCTAAACTCAGGAAAAAAATATTTTCCCAAAAATGAAGGTGAAATAAAGACCTTTTATTCAAACAACAAAAGCTGAATTAATGTATTACCAGCAGACCTGTATTACAGAAGATGGTAAATGCAATTCTTCAGGCAAAAGGAAATTTGATACCCAACAGATCCTAGGTCTGTATTTGTTTATGTATATTTTGGATCTACACAAACAGAAATGGATCTAAACATACAAAGAAATGGATAGATTTAAGGTCTATATAAAAGACATTTTCTCTTACTTTTAATCGCTTTAAAAGATATTGTTTAAAGCAAAGATAACAGCAATGCAGAGTGGGGTCATAGATGTAATAGTAATCTATAACACACTAGAACAAAAAAGGGAAATTTAGAGTATGCAAATAGTGCTGCAATAAATATCCTTGAGCATGAACCTTTGTATGCAACACTTATACAATAAAGTCCAAACACTTTGCAATGTGGCCTTAATCACCACTGTAGGCCTATTTCAAGTAAGATATCCCTCATGTCAGCCAAAAACGAACTACCCCCCATTTTCAGAATATGCCATGGCCTCTTATATATGTTATTTCCTTAACTGGTAAATTTCTACTCACATTAAGATCACTATTAAATGCTATAATTATTTCTCCAAATTAGTTCACCCCACTAGATTAAGTCTTAGTGGTCATGTTTGAAATCTCAGTGCTAGGTACTCAACAAGGATATGTGGAATGAGTAGTTAAAAAAAATGACTAGTTGGCAATAATATTCCTAATAAAAGTGAAGGAATGATCTAAGTAATTAGCTGATTCCATGCTTATACTTGATATTCCAACCGCCTTAGAAACACCATTACTGCCTTTTTATAGGAGTCTGTCTCACCCTGAGGACTCGCTTAGTATTAACACCTTTACACACTGTAAAGGTTCTGCTATTTCACTATGCCAATCTCTATTACTTACAACGGCTGGGTGGGCTGATGTCCATTACAGTCAAGGTCGGGTTGTCGATGTCACTTCCCCTTCTTCTTATTCGACTATCGTCATACTCTGGGGTAAAGACACTGCTTCCACTACTAGTGCTTAAGGAGTGATCAGTAGGACTGAAACTCACAGGAGACCGGAAGCTGGTCCCCTGGGTCCTTCTAGCTCTTGGAAAAGTTTTACGACCTATAACATGAACACAAAATTACCATCTACTTTTTATTAACATGGAATACTTTTAAGTGTTTAAAATTTGTAATGTAGGGAACAAATTTGTCCTGTGACTAGGATAAAAGATTGAAAAAAGGAGGGAAAAAAATGAAGACTTTGAATACTAATTCAAATAATCTATGGTAACTCACACATGCACATACGTCATAGAAAAGAACTCTCACTTTTGGATAAAAAGGAGAAAAAAAATTTTATTTTCACTTCCAATAATGATTTAAAAATACAAAGATTTAGAAGTTCACAAGTAGTTTTGCTTTTTGTTTTAAAGGGACAATGCAAGTGTGAATTTCATCACCAAGGAGTAATTTTTTAATAAGTATGATTTAATAATTATTCCTGGCCGGACTCGGTGGCTCAGCCTGTAATCCCAGCGCTTTGAGAGGCCGAGGTGAGTGGATTGCCTCAGCCTGCGGGTTCGAGACCCGCCTGGGCAACTTGGAGAGACCTCATCTCTACAGTAAATCAAAAAATTAGCCAGGCATGGTAGCGTGCGCCTGTAGTTCCAGCTCCTTGGAAGGCTGAGGCAAAGGATCGCCGGAGCCCAGCAGGTCGAGGCTGCGGTGGCCAGAAGCGTGCCACTGCACTCCAGCCTGGGCAACAGAGTGAGACTGTAACTCGAAAAGAAAAAAAAAATTACTCCTTGACAGTCAGACTCACAACTCTAGTCCCAGCTACACAAAGGGCTGAGCAGGGAGGATCACTTAAGCCCAGGAGTTTAAGTCAGCTTGAGCAAGACCCTTTTTCTACTTATTTTATTTTTCCAGATACATCAGATAGGAGCAAAAGACATATTGCTCATCAGTGAGACCCTTTTTCTTTTAAGGGAAAGACATGTCTTATAAGTTGACGTAAGGTAAAATATAATTTTTTTTTATTATTTTATTTTATTTTTTTGTAGAGATGGGGAATTTCACTGGGTTGCCCAGTCTGCTCTCAAATTCATGGCCTCAAGTGATCCTTCTGTTTCAGCCTCCCAAAGTGCTGGGAATATAGGCATAAGTCATATCCAGCCTAAAATGTTACAGCTTAGCTATGACCCAATTTCCTCAAAACACCTTTTTTAAACCAGAAAACTAAGTGATTCAGGGAAATTTTTTTCTGAAGGTATTATACAAATATGAGATTTAAAAAAAATTTACATTTATTATTTTTGAGATTTTTTTTAACAAGTTATTCTTGTGGTCTAAATGCCAAATACTTACCGTCATTATACTCTTGATGATGATATGAAACATGATACCTTCTTGGATATGTTCCTCCTTTTCCAAATTTCTCAAAGATAGGGTTATCATAGTCTGTTAAGACATGTAAGAAAGTTATATGCTATTTTTAATTTTTATTTTTTTATTTTTTGAGTTGGAGTCTTACTCTGTCACCCAGACTGGAGTGCAATGGCCGCTCCCGGCCACCGTAGCCTCGACCTGCTGGGCTCCGGCGATCCTTCCGCCTCCGCCTTCCAAGTAGCCGGAATTACAGGCACATGCTACCACGCCCAGCTGATTTTTTGATGTATTGTACAGATGAGGTCTCGCTGCCCAGGCGGGGCTCGAACCCGCGGGCTCAGGCAATCCGCTCACCTCAGCCTCCCAAAGGCACGGGATCACAGGCTGAGCCACCCAGTCCGGCTATATGCTATTTTTTTAAAAGTCAAATACTTCTAATGATGAAAAGCCATTTACAAACTTTTATTTGATTTTTCAAAAATCTCCCCTCTCCCTCTCAGCCAAAATATTATCCAATGACATAAACATTTAGAATTTATAAAGTCTAACCTGAAAATTCCTGATGATTATCTGGGTAGCTCTGTGCCCTAGGCATTCGTGATTTTGGATAACTCTCTCTATAAACAAAAAATGTCATGTTAAGAGAAAATATGTAAATAAGACTTTTTAGAAAAAATGTAAAGTAACATCTGTATCGATCTATCTCTGTGTGTATGTGTGTGTAAAGGAGCTCACCCTGGTCATGTAGGCAAAAAGCCTAGCTATTAAAGTTAACCTGGAGAACACGGTGGTAAGAATGACATATTCTGGAATCACAGCTGTTTGGAAACACTTTGTTTTAACTTGAGCTCTGTCATTTAACCTTGGCAAATCACCTTTCTGAGACTGTTTCATGCATCTATAGAAAGAAGATAATAATCTCCAACCCGTCAAACATATATAAGTGTCCAGGACAGTGCCTTGCAAATAGTGAAAACTCAATATATAGCTTTCTCTGAATTTCTTAAATGTCCATCTTGAGGTAGACATTAATACAGAGGTTTCATATACACAGATAAGGGAAAATTTAAATGTACTTCACACACAGTATTATTTATCCTTTCAGAATTTGCTTTCATAAAGTAATCTCTGAGGAGATTAAACAGGTAAAGATTTTAATATTGACTCTGAGCTACAGTGACTACTAAGAACATTGGCCTATTGAGACCAGGAGGGGGAGCACTTGTAACAAAAAATTCACAATTGCAAATTGATGTTGCTCATATTCCTAAACAGCCAGTTCATGAAAGAATAATAGTACTTAAATTTTTTAAACGACAACCAACACACTGGGCCACAATTAACAAGAATGTAAATTATTTCTAACCTGGTGCCAGAATCCTGAACAGGTGAAATAACTCAAATCTCCAAAAGTAAACATATTAATGAAAAATTTGACAGCAAACAAGTTTTAAAAGTAAACGTACAGAAATTCTAAATTTGACTTGCCTTCAACCACACAATTTTGGCAAGTAGAAATACTCAAAACTATTATAATTATATCATTTTAGCTAAAAATAATACTAGGGCCCATGAAGTTAAGGGATTCATCCACACTGTGTAATAATTGTTTGCTATTGTTATAGACAAGTATCAATTAATTACATTCCTCTAAATTTACCATAAAAGAGATACTGATAATTAAACATGCTATCTACATGCATATTTACCCATACGCATATTAAAAAACAAAAACCACAATCAACATTACCCGTCCAAAGGACTATCAAGTGATGGACAACTTCCTGAGCCAGAATTTTCAGGGCTACTTAAGGATAATGGATCCAGCATCTAGGAAAATAAAGAGTTCCACCATGATTTAATCTGATATAATCAAAAGTTACTTTTTTAAAAAAACTGCTCTATTGAGATATAATTCATGTGACATAATATTCACCCTTTAAGTCAACAGCTTTTGAAATACTGAGAGGGAGATATTCATCACAATTTTAGAAGAACCCTATACTCAGCAGTCCCTTGTTAGATAAGCCACAACTCTAAAATTTCTTTAAGAGAAAAACATTCTTTTCTATCATCTATAGACTAAATAATTAAAGTTACAATGTTTTACATAATTTTGCTTACTGAAAACTGAACAAAGCCCCACTCAAATTAAGACTAATAACACTGTGACATTACTAACCACTTCAATGTAAACTACTGCAATACTGTGAACATACAAGCGATGTTAAGAAAATTAACAGCAATTCCATGAAAATATTTCAATACCATAAAACTGAGGTATTTTTTAAAATGCTTTGAGCCGGGAGCGGTGGCTCACGCCTATAATCCCAGCACTTTGGGAGGATTGCCTGAGCCCACAAGTTCAAGACCAGCCTGGGCAACTTGGTGAGACCTTGTCTCTACAATAAATCAAAAAAATTTAGACAGGCACAGTAGCGCACATCTGTGGTTCCAGCTACTTGGAAGGCTAAGGCCGAAGGATCACCTAAGTCCAGCAGGTCCAGGCAATATCACCTTCAACCTTTGGTCTGTAACACGTTTTCTCTAATAATCTATCACATAACAACAAAGAGGCATATTTTTAAAAAAATGTTCACAAACCTCAGTTTCATAGTTAAATACTTGTAGTTTTACTCTGTCTTTCAAATATCTTTTTTAAAAACCTGAATGTTAATCCCAGGATCACAAAACAAATGCATTAATCATTCATTCACTTATGGATGAGCAATACAAGAAAATCAACCTTATTCCGGCTTTCTTTACATATCAATACATACAGGCACACGTAAACTAGTGTGTATTTTCCTGACTGACACACACACACACACACACACACACACACACACACACCAGGTACTTACCAAGTCACACTGACTCTGACAATATCTCTTTAAACGAAAAACATCAAACTTTGGCTTACTTGGTCCATGCTCTCTGGAATGAACTCTCCTTCACTGTTGATACTAGTGAATGACCCATTCCGGGCAACCTGGTGCAATTCATCTGGAATGTATCCTGGGGGAGGGGAACTTCTATCTCTATTACTGGGACCTCAAAGAAGAAAAATTATATGATTTATAATTATCAGCAAGAAAATCAAGTTTTGCTTCAAATAGGCTATATTCCTGAACTATATCAATAATAACTATAGCAAGTGAAATTCAATTTTAATTAAAACTTATCAGAACATTGTTTGTAAAACTTAAAACGTGTTTATACCCATTGTAAATTCCCATCCTACGATAATTATTAACTTCACTGTAAAATTCATTTATACTTACTACATAGTCTTTTGACTACTGATGGGTTGATAATACAATATACATTTTTAGATACATTTAGATAGATTTCTGAACTTCTAGAGGTCACTTGTACCCAAATAAATGTTAGCTTTTGACATAATTTATAAACAGCATCATATTGTAGTGAAAGACTATGGGCTTTGCAACTAGACCTCAGTTTAAAACCTAGTTCCAGTTATTTACCAGCCGGGTGTCTTGGTAAAGTTACCCATCTTCATAAACCTGTTTCCTCATCTGTAAACATGGGACTAAATCCCTTCTTTGCAAGGTTTCATGATATTCTTTCCATCTCCTCTCTTTAATCTTTAGAAACCTAAAATGAGATTATTTCTTAGTAATTTAGCCCCTATTAGGGCATTTTCTATTTGAAATCCTGTATTCTATTTTTGGGTATTTAAATTTTTTTTTTTTTGTGGCAAGCCATATTCCTGGAATTTACATTTTTTTGTATTTTAGAAAAATGGAAAATTTGGCATTCATTTAGAATAGTTCATTTAATTAACCACATTTCTATGAGACAATAACCTTCTTTATTCTACCTGATTCTGTAGAACTGATGCTATGTTAATAGTAATGTTAATATACTTACAGTGACTCCTTTACATAAGGCTAAAGCCTTTTTGCTTTAAACTTGACCAGAACTTAAATGCTCACATAACTTCCCCATGTCTATTTTATTTTTGAGTTGGAGACTCACTCTGTTGCCCAGGCTGGAGTGCAGTGGTATGCTCACAACTACCACAACCTCAGCCTGCTGGACTCAGACGATCCTTCTGCCTCAGCCTTCCAAGTAGCTTCTCTCCTTTCCTGTAATTTTTTGAAATTAACTATAAAATAGACATGTGGACCAGGCGCAGTGGCTCACCCCTACGATTCCACTATTTTGGGATACAGAGGTAAGAGAGAATTACCTGAGTCCAGGAGTTCAAGATCAGCCTGGACAACTTGGTGTGACCTCTCTACAAAAAATTAGCCGGGCATGGTGATAGCGTGCCTGTAGTTCCAGCTACTTGGAAGGCTGAGGCAGAAGGATCGCCTGAGTCCAGCAGGCTGAGGTTGTGGTAGTTCTGAGCATGCCACTGCACTCTAGCCTGGGCAACAGAGTGAGTCTCCGACTCAAAAATAAAATAGATATGGAGAAGTTATGTGAGCATTTACGTTCTGGTCAAGTTTAAAGCAAAAAGGCTTTAGCCTTATGTAAAGGAGTCACTGTAAGTATATGCCAGCATTTGTTAATGAGATAGGAAAAAAGAAAGGAAAATGATTACCAAGAGATGTACATAAAAGGACACAGGGAACAAAAAACACAACGAAAATTTCTTCACCTCCTTGACAACGCATTTTTCTTCATTTTTGTTAGTAACGGGTATGCCAATGCACTCCTCATTCAGACTTGAACACCAGCATACTATCCCAATGGAATTTTTTTCATTAGCTCCCGTTTTAAAAACAATTAAAAAGAATAGTTGTCAACATATAAGGAAAAAAAATAGATGGTCATACCTATCAAAGTCATTACAAGTTTAAAGCAGTGTTAATAAAACACTAGCAATTCTATACAATTTCCAGTTTCTTTTTTTTTTTTGAGTTGGAGTCTCACTCTGTCACCCAAACTGGAGTGCAGTGGCCGCTCCCGGCCACCGCAGCCTCAACCTGCTGGGCTCTGATGATCCTTCCGCCTCAGCCTTCCAAGTAGCTGGAACTACAGGCATGCGCTACCACGCCCGGCTCATTTTGATTTTTTTATTGTAGAGATGAGGTCTCGTTAAGTTGCCCTGGTGGGTCTCGAAAAAAAAAAAAAAGTACATTTCTTTCTTAATCCCCATTTCTTTCTTAATCTCCATTTCTTTCTTAATCCTCATTTCTTATATTATAGTAGCTATCATTCTAAAGCAAAAAATTGCCAACTCACTTAAGTTGCATTAGGCAGAACAAGCCAAAACATGTTAGTTAAGTCGGCTTTTTCTTTTCTTCTTGAGTCAGACTCTCATGCTGGCACCCAGGCTGAAGTACAGTGCCACGATCATACCTTACCATAACCTCAACCTCCTGGACTCAGGTGATCCTTCTGCCTCAGCCTCCCGAGTAACCAGGACTACAGGTATACACCACCATGCCCTGCTAATTTTTAAAAATTTTTCATAGAGATAAGGCCGCTGTGTTGCCTAGGCTGATCTCGAACTCCTGGGCTCAAGCACTCCTCCCTCCTCAGCCTCCAAAAGTGCTGGGATTACAGATGTGAGCCACCATGCCTGGTCAAAATGTACATTTTATAGTAGTCATGCTTTCTGTTTGAAAAGTAAAATGTACTTTACAAGTGTTCTTTAAATTTACTGCTATAAAAATCCCATGATTTAAAGATGAGAACAAATTTATTGGTCTCAGATTAATCAGAGAGCTGGAATTTAAATTCAGGTATTTCAAATGTTCTTTCACCAGATTTTAAAATTATATCAAAATATATCTGAATGAATACAAGCCATTTTTATTTTGTGTATCACCTTTGCTGCTCATACTTCCAGCACCTCTAAAACCAAAAGCTGGACTTGTATAACAGACACTTAGAAGAGAACAGTCATAAGACAGCCTCTTCTGGGGAGCAAAAGAGAAGATGAATAATATATATAGTTTTGGTGGTTCACATCCCAGTTTAATCTTTTCTTTCATCATCAACAACCTTCTTTGGCCACCCGTCCTTTTCAGAGTCCTCACCACAACTATTTTGCCGCACTCTCCCGCTTCCTCCTTATCCACTGGCTCTTCTCTGCCTCTTCAACTGTTCCCCTTCACATCCACCCCCCATACATGCTTTTGTGCCATCTTTAATGACTATACTCATTGCCCTCTCTGGTAAAAACATTTCTACCAGTGGATTTTTGGAAGAATGTAATGCTTTGATCACATAAAAATACAGATTATCAATGTTTCATATAAATTGGGGAATACACATAGAAGTACCTCTTAAAGCACCTCTGCCCAGCCCATGCTTCACTCATAAAATCTCTTTAAAAAACAGCACACAGGATCCTTTTTTAATACCATAAGCTCAAAAATATCAATATATAATTAGTGGTAAATGAAATTTGAATATTAATAAAGTAATAATACAGCATAATATGGAAATCCTTAGTAATCTTTATTTTGACAACATTTTTGGCAAGAACTAAAACCTAGAGAAAGACTTATGAACTTAGAATCCAGTCTATTAATTCCAATATATCAGTATTATTTTTTAATTTTTTTCCCCTCATTCTACTTGTACAAATAAAACATCTTCAAGGTTTTATTTTTATTTTATTTTTAAAATGTGGGGTACAATTCAGGGTTAGGTACTTACGTGGTCATTGTACAGGTAAAGTGTGGGTACCCTTACTGAGGTTACGCGCTCTCACCATGCCGGCAGTGCTCCCTACTGCCAATTCCTTTCTTAGAGTATTATGATAAATGTTCAAGGTAAAACCTCTTCAAGGTTCTATTTGAATTTGTTAAACATTAAAATAGCCTGGGTACATAAATAATGAACTTAAATTGGAGATGATCAATTCTGCAATACTTGCAAGGAATTCCCAAGGGACATCAGATATTAGGATGTATTTAACTTAGATAAATTACAGAAAGTACAGAAATGGAATGCTATTTATGAGGAATATGCTTAGGTGTTACACTGCATTAAAAGATGAAGAAGAAATTGAGAAATCATTTATTTCATAATTCAGACAGTAGCTTTCTTACCTATTATAGGAAGCCGCTTTTTCCTCTCTGCTTCAAATACTGTGTTATCCAAATCTTCTTGTGATGGCAATGGTTCTAAATTAGTAGGCTACAGAGGAGAAAAAACAATTAATGCTATTTTCCCCCTTTGGGGTTTTAAGCAGAATTCTCTCTCCTACCAAACATAACCTAGCTACTCTATTATTATTTGTGAGCTTTCCCAGATCTTCTACTCTTTGAAATTTTGTTACCAACATAATTCTTTCCAAGTTGTCAGTTTCTATTAGTTTCTAATGCACAATACGTTATTTATAATCGTGACTGTGGTTTTGAGGAGCAAGGATATTAAACTATAGCAATTAAAGTGCGTAAGTTTGTATTTAATCACACTGAAATTATAGCAATGACTACAGAATAAAATTATGTTTTATATATTGACTTTTACAAGCATTAAGTTCTACAATTTTTACTGGAAAAATATCCCAAGTCATACCTGTGTACTTCCATTTATCACAAGTAATATCTTGAGGCTCTTCATATGAATACTACGATCCAGCAGTTCCACAGCTTTGTCCAAGTCATCTTGGGTGGTTAATGGAATTACCAACTAGACAAAAAGAAGCATAAGGAATCATGCAGCTATCTCACCAGGTCAAGCTTTCCATGAGCATCTCCATTAACAGGGAATTACAAATGTCAAAATACCTTGCTCTTTGATTTGTTGCTATAACGAAAGTCTAAATGCACATCTAGATTGCTTTGCTCTCCCCATCCTACTATCACCAAAATCTTAGAATAAACATGGATATTTTGCCTTATTGAGTGTTACATTCTTCTAGAAAATATACTTAAATATTGTTTTTCTAGGATATTTCCAAAATGTTGTTAAATTTAAGTTACATATTTGCTGTAAAACAGCATTAAGGAGTATACACAAAGACCATAACAAATAAACTATTTTTCATCTGCACAGATGAAACTCTCAGTTCTTTTTCCAGTTGTGACCACAGACTTGCACTTTCATCTGGTGAGACATATCAACATCCTTAGCATCTGCCATGGAGGACAGCTGCTATAGAGGGAGGCCACCAGTAACATCCCTGCAATGTAGAGCCTACCTGGGGTTCATCTCTGAGTCCAGTGACCTGACCTCTGCACTCTAAAATAAGCTACTGGGGTAGCCATCCAGAGTAAACCCTCAATGTGGAATCTGCTTTTATTAGTCCTCTCATGGATCAATGTTACAGAGGACAAAAACACCTGAGAACTCTATGAGAAAAAGTGTGATTTCACACAGTTAAAGAAAATCAAGGTATCACATTTTTAAAGTCAATTTAGTAGCTTAAGAAGACTCTATCAATAACTTCAAAGTATATTCCATTTTATTGAAAGAGGGATAGAATAAAAACAAGTAAACATAATCTACACCTGTTAACTTGGACTGTATCAGGCCTTCATATGTAAGGTCTAGTTAATTTGAGGTCTCCTACAGTATAAATTCCCCCCCCCACCAGCAATTAGCATGGGACACAGCAAAGAGTAGATACTTGGTTAAATGCTGTTTAATAAATATCACAGGAGTGAAAGTTCAGTGTGCATCCAAACCCACTAGCTGGTATGGCATGCACTCACGCTGTAGACTTTTGGGAAAAAAGTTTTTGCTTTAAAAAAAGGCTGCCAGTCACAAATATAAAGCATTGTAAATGTGAATTCCATCATACAATTTGCTTACATTTAATTACTCTGTTTGTAAAATTATATTCTAAATTTCTATTTGTAGCTCATTTTGTATTACTGTGAGTTATCCACTAACTATGCTCTTTTTTCTCTATGAAAATTTTTTTCCAATAAAAAAAGAATTATTAACTGTACGATATCACAGAACAAGCCTGATTTACTAAATCCACTTGAATTACTTTTATTTTTCTACCAATTATGAACCATATTGACATATCTTGCTCCTACCTTCAACAGTCTATTTTATTATATTTTAAGCACTGGAAAACTTTAAAAAGCAACAATGAAGACTGTTCTGCCAGTTTTTCACTTGAGAGGGAACTCTGAAGACTTTTCCTAACATTTATTTGTAACTGGATTGTTTGCTTCTGAGGTAAAAACAAAACAAAACAAAACAAAACAACCCACTAATTCAAATGACAGTAACCACATAGGAACAGACAGGGTTCTGCTCTTCTTCCATTTGCTACCATGAAATATGGACATCCCAGAGGAGTGCCTGGCACAGCAACTAAGCCATTGCCTACAGTTCTGATGTGATCCCGGCTGTGTTCTAAGGTTCCCTATTACATACAAACTGTAAAATGAGAACCAAGAGTCAAGAAGAAGGCGGGGGAGCGGTGGCACAAGCCTATAATTTCAGCACTTTGGAAGGCTGAGGTGAGTGGATTGCCTGAGCCCATGGGTTTGAGAACAGCCTGGGCAACTTGGCAAGACCTCATCTCTACAATAAAAAAAAAAAAATTAGCTGGGCGTGGCAGTATGTGCCTGTAGTTCCGGCTACTTGGAAGGCTGAGGCGGAAGGATCAACGAGGCCCAGCAGTTTGACGCTGGGGTGGCCATAAGCGTGCCACTGCATTCCAGCCTAGGCAGCGGAGTAAGACTCCAATTCAAGGGGGAAAAAAGAAGTCAAGAAGTAGTCCCAGCTTACTTAAATTATATTAAATAGATCACAGAATGTTTTCCTGTTTGGTAAATTCACTTCAGCTTCATTCCCTCTGGCTTATTTTTGATGAATCAGTTGTTCGTTAATATAAATCTTTCCTGGAAGGGAAACTTAAAATTGAGTCCAATTACACATTAAATAGAACTTAAATTTGAATGAAGTAAATAATCTTTTTGACTTACATAGTAAAGTATGAAAATAAACTATAAAAAGGTTTTCCTGCTCTACTTATCTAAAATGAGAACACGACAACACACACAGAGAGACATACACAACCACCTTAAATAGACAAAGAACAGACAAACGAACAAATCCAACCAATCCCAGCTTATATTTCCTGGTTGATTCAACCACAGCAAACCAAAAGTTTATAGAGTAATAGTTCATTTTGAACAAAGGAATTTATATTACGCTACAAAAAATATTTATAGAACTGGAATAATGTGCGGTATAAATGAGTATTTTGCTTATCTATAGGTCCACAAAACTAACACTTTTGTAATATTTTCCCTAATACCCCCAATGTCCAAGATCATGCATTTAATCTGGGACAACATGGTTAACTCACAGAATTACAGACTGTCGCAGAATCTCAGGGTTACATGAAATCTTAAATGTAATCTTATCCTAACACGACCTCTAACACATCCTTCCAGAAGGCCACCAAAACATAATGGCAGGCCAGAAATCCTTCAGAAAGCATGAGAAAAAAAACTAAAAATGAAAAAACTTTCCAATTTTTAGAAAATGGGAAAGAGCTATTAAAACCACAGATAGGTTAGTTTGATATCAATCCTCAAGAAAACCCCAGAGAAAATTACATAAACAAATTGGGAGAATTAATAAAAGAAACAGCAATTCCAGGAGCTAGCATAGATATAATATCAATCTAATCACATCAAACTGGTCTCATCTTTGTTGATAGATCTACCAAACTGGTAGATAAAAACCATATTATAGTCTTAATATGTCTTGGCATTTAAAGTTTTCCATGATACAACTTTAGAAAAAAGAAAAGAGATAGATATGTCTGGGATCCCCTAGAATCCTACCATAGGATTATGCTAAGTTCAAGTCATTTACATTAAAAAACAAACAAACTAGGAAACACTGGTAGAGGGAAGACAGGGAAAGGGAGGAGGTCCATAAAGGGTGTATCATTATCCAGCAACTTGCCACTGTGGGCAAGTGGAATCCGCCCATCCCCACTGCCCCTTCTTCCCCTCTGAGGCCCATCTCCCTAGCTCTGAGGCCCATTATCTCTTCAGCCCCTGTGGCCATACCTTTGGAAAGCCCTCAGAGCCTGAGGGGTTGGCAGGGGGAAATCTCGCCAGCACAAACAGAAAGTGCTAAGATGAGGCAGGCCAACATGGTGTTTATGGCTAACTGAAAACTCAAAAAAGTATTTGAAAAATAAAATTTCATGGTACGACTATAGTATAGTCCTCATCATATTTTTCAGGACTGTTTGTTGGGATATAAATTTTTACTGTATCAAAACATGTTCATATCTGAGCTGTAAGTAGTATCTTTAGATAAGCTATATTTGCATTTTCTTTTGCTTTAAATTAACAATAATTCATTCAAAATCTAATATTTTCAGATATTTAAGTTTACACAATGCTCTAACATTTGCAAAGCACTTTCACGTTTTCTTGCATTAATTTTTACTAAGTTCTCCACTGTCACTCCACCCCCACCAGCAGTTTTCCTATTCTTGAAATATTTTTCCATCTTAAGATCACTGCATGCACTGCTCTGAAGCCACTGCCTCTACTAGCAACTTTCTTTCCCTGAAACATTGCGGGGTTGGTATTTCATACTTAAAGTCTCAGTATGAATATTGAGAGACCCAAGAGATTAAAAAAAAGAAATACTATATGAATTCCTACCCCACGTTCACTGTATTTGTTTGCAGTGTTTGTACTTAGAATTTTGTTAAGTTTAATTTTTGTTTGTCTCATAAAATAACCGATTGCTTCCGCAACTGCTGCTAGCAGTATGTGAATGTCAAGTAATAAACCCCTCCCGGGCATTCCTTTGCTTAGCCTGCCTGCTGACATTCCACTCTGCTCATTTAGCAGCTCCCCAGTCAATCACAGGTAGAGCAGACCAGACCAATCCCAAGTGCCCCCATACCCATTAGGAGAAATTACCCTATCATGTAAAAACAAGTTTAAAGTTCTTTCCCCTCCCTCTGTAATGATGTATAAAAACTGCTTGCCATGCTGGATCGGGGCTCTCGTCCCTGAAGCTGGTGCTTCGGGCGTGAGCCCAGACTCGAGCCTGAATAAAGACCCTCGTGTGTTTGCATCGGAGCTGGCTCTTTGTGGTCTCTATCTCTCTCATTAGAGTCCCGGGTTCAACATTTGGAGGCCCCAGCGAGATTTCAGAGACCTCCTAGACTCCAGCCCGAAGGGTCTTAGCCAGTGGGTAAGTGCACACGCGCTTCTGGTAGGATATCGATATCCATTTTATAAGGCCGGATAAGGTAGAGTGGACGCACTCTAAGACCCTCCCGGCCAGAGATCTTGGGAGATGTCTCTCGATCTCAGAGGGAGCCTAGGTGCTGGAAAGTGCAGGCACAGAGGGGGTCCAGGCGCGAGAGGTGTGGACTCAGTAGCTCTCCGACGCAGTGGCGGTCTGAGAGAGGGCTGAGAGAGGGCGTCGTCTGGTATGCCCCATTCAGAGGATAGCGCTGTCCTCATATCTGAAGGTAGCTCAGCACCAAGAGGTGGGCTTGCCTTCAGATCGGTTTTGTCTTTGTCTCTACGGCCGTAGGAAAGTATATTTTTGTGTTGGTTGCGTTTTTTTATTTTTTTATTTTATCTGCTGTTTATATGTGTGTTACTGTGGACGGAAAACATGGGACAGAGACTGACTCTAACTCTTGGCTGATTATTTCTCGGACATAAAGTAAAGCTGATAATCTAAATGAAATCATTTGCAAAAAAAACAAAACTTTCAAGGTTAGTATAAAAGCTTACAAATTCTAAATACTGCTGCAAAAGAATTTCTGCTAATAACTAGTTCTATCATTTCATTTTAAAAGTGTATCCTTGTATTTTCAGCCAAAATAAATAATATAAGCAATATAGGATGTATTTAGCCAATATATAAATAATATAAAGTATGCTTTTAATAATACATTTTTGTTCTACAATAGAATGGCTGGTTACAGAAAGCATAGAACAAAAACAGAAAGTTAAAACATGTCAAAGAATGGTATAAGTTCATCGAACATGTCAGGTAGAAGTTAATGGAAACAAATAAAAGAAATTCTGTAAACTCTTGAGGCTAAAAAGTTAATAGTCTGTGTTGGGGGTATACCAACCTATCAATTGCTAACAGGTGTCTCTCACTTTGAATCTGTTAAA